GTTCCAGGCAGAGGTCGTGCCGCGTGAGGGTTCTGCCGCGGGGAGCGGTGCCGAAAGGCCCAGAGGGTGCGGGGGGAACGGGCTGGACGGGGGGTGTTGCGAGCAGCCAGGAGGGAGTTGAGTCGCTGGGCGGCACGGAGCCATCGCCGGGTCTTGGCGGACGGAACGAGCTGGGGAAGGGGAGGGGGCCCCAGGGCTTGGTGGGGCGTCCCAGGGTCAGTGGGAGAATCTAGGGGAGCGGCGATCGCTGGGGAGGAAGGGCCCCTGGGAGGCTCCCGCTCGCCTGCAGCTGGTGAAGGATGTCCTCTGGGACGGGCGCTGGGGCGAGGGGGGCAAACGGCGCATGCGTGCGCTCGTGGGCGTACGCCTCCTGAAGCGCCTCAAGGAGAGAATCTTCGTTGGGGGGGCACGGTGAGGGGGCGCGTGGTGATTGCGTGCCTCCAAAGGGGTCCTGCGCGGGGGGTGCCCTGCCCGGATCTGCGTCGCGCCCAGGACGCGTTGCTGCAGTGACCTTGGGTCGAAGTGGATGCCCGCAGCGTTGTATAAGGGGCCTCCCGTGCAGGCCAAGGTCGTTGTAATACCTACTGAAGCCGACGGCCCGGGCTCGTTCCTCTGGAGTGGGGGTCCATGGCCCCTGCTGCCTGCCCTCCGCCATGAACCATCTTCCTCATGCTCGCGCCTTGTCCCCCGCTCCACGTCCCTCTCGTTCGCGCCCCTGCATGGCCAGTCGGTGACCGTTTATGCACCGGAGGAAGCGGGTGTTGGCGGCTGTTTCGGTGATTAATGGCGCGGGCCCTGTCTCTGGCATTTGCCGTGGAGCATGGGGGCCGTTTGGCGCCCGCGTCCTCGTTGTAGAGGAGGCATGCCAGGTGTGTCTGGCAGCTGCTCGGGATGACTTCGTCGGGGGTATCGCCCCGGGGCTGGGTCCAAGTAGGGATCCGGCCGTCAGGGCGGAACGCCCATCTTGGCTCCCATGGGGGTGGGTGGCGGGGGTAGCTGAGAGATCTCGACGCGGGAGGGAAGGTGGCCATCCACGTGCGACACCGGGGGCTGGCCACCCAGTCACCTGCGTTGATCCGGCAGGCCCACTCTTCAGTGATGCCTCCGAGGGGGCGCCGCATTGCGGCCCTGTGCGCGTTCTGCATGGGAGCCGCATTTGCTGAGATCACTATGATCTGGATGTCAGGGCGGCGTCTCGAGGCCGTGAGCCACGCCGTGGGTATGGCGAAGAAATGCACTGAGCGCCTGCCAGCAAGCCCATCCGCGCCTCCGTAGGTCCCGGCTGTAGAAACGTTGTTGCGGGGGCTCCCTCCGACGATCGGGAGGGGGCTGCCCGGGGGGAGCGTGTCCAAGTACCTTGTCCTTGGAGAGTAGCCGGAGTCTGTGAGTCGAAACAGATCCCATACATCGGCCGTGAGCTGGTAGTGGGGGGGGCCGCTGTCCGTAGGGTGGGGGGAGCTGTGGCTCCAGTAGTGGCCCACTCGTTGCGCAGCGTCGAGGTTGCATTCGGAGAAAACCGAGGAGGTGAAGCGGTGCGACAGGCCCATCCTATTCACGAGGTCTCCAACCGCGTACCTGGCTAGGCCCCATCCGTCAAATAAGGAAACGAGGTGTAAGGATTGTCCACCTGGGGTGTCGGAGGGGATTGGTCGTGGGATGGCTGCGGCCACGGGGGTGTCCGCTATCATCACCCCTGAGAGCTGCGTGAGGTCCATGTCTCCGTTTCGTTGCACCATCAAGGAGCCAGCAGCGTTCCTAGGGTTGCCCACCTGTGGTTGGGCCACCACGCCCTGTTGCTCAAGGGTACGGAGAGTGTCGATGATTTGTGTGTTACCCAATCCAGCCAACTGGTATGCTGCGAGGATGGGGTCGGCGGGGGCGACCAGGGAAATGCCAGTGTCGTCCTGCCTGTGTCGGTCCCAGAGCTGTTGCAGGACGTCAATGGCCGCAAGCTGGGAGGTGGGTTCGTCCAGGGGGGTTCTCGATCGCGCACCCTACCCCGTTAGGCTCTATTACTGTCCTGGGGGCTTGGGGCGGGGCGCCTGACCCCCCTTCGATTTTCGACTTGCTCCGCTCCTTGGGGGGGTCCAAGAACTGGGACGGGGTCGGTGTGTCTGCCCGCCGTGCGGGAGCGGTGTCTGGCGGTCCCGGGTAGGTGTGCAGCAACCCTGCGGAGAAGGTCGGTGATCGTCGATCCCCGGGCAGCCTCCCTTGGGGGGTTGGTGGGGGGGGGGCTGCGCCTGGTGGCTCCTGGGGCGCGGGTGCAGGCGCCTGGGCGGGCCGTTGAGCGGGCGGGCTGGGCGCCGTGTCAGGGGGACCAATGGGAGGGGGGTTACTCTCCTGCTGGGCAGAGGAGGAGTGTGGGACTGTGGCCCCCTGTGGTGCTCTGGGGCCAGGGTCAGCGGTCGGCGGGCAATTGGGCATGTCCTCAGTGTCGCAGCGTATCATCCGACGGGCCGGGATAAGCTGGGCGACGAGCTCCCGTTGCTGCTGTTCCGACGGGTTGCCGCCAGCGCCCACGATGACCATGCGGTTGAGAAGGGTGCTTGGGATGAGGGAGAATGGGGCGTCTGGCGAGCGGGCAAGCTCTCCGATGTGGCTGGGGTGCGTGCGGAGATCGGCGTACGCGGCATCCAGGGAGATGGCCGCGTGTCTGGCGCAAACGCTCCTAAGTTCGCGCTTCGCGCTGCGCGAAGCGCGAATAACTTCGCGCTCTCGCGCCGCCCTCCCAAAGGGAGAAGAGGAGGACGAGGAGGAGAGGGGAGAAACGAGGACCGCGAAGCGCGAAGCGCGAATAACTTCGCGCCCTCGAGGGAGCCCTTGCATCCAGGGAGATGGCCGCGTGTCTGGCGTCAGTGGGCCTTCCCATGGGGTTCCTCGTGCCCGGGGGGCAGGACGGTCGGCCCAGTATGCCCCAGTTGGGTCTGGAAGGATTGCAAAAAAAAAGCAAAAAAAACCCTAGGATTGCAACAAAAAAAAAAAAACCCTTTGGGTTTTTTTTTGTTTTTTTTTTTTGCAATCCAAGATTTTTTTTTTTTGCAATCCTTCGTTCAAGGGAGGCACGCCGTGGTTGGAGAAACGTCGGATGCGTCTGTCGAGCTGCGGAAGGCTCGTGCACGAGCGACGTCGCTCAGGAGTCGCTGCCGCCCGCTGCGGTTCGCCGGGTCTCTGAGTTGCAGTGCCACGGTCTCCTCTGAAGCTGCCGCGGTGCTCGTGAATGTGGCCGCGGTCCTTCTAAGAGCGGCGTCGCATTCCCTTTCCATACGCCTACATCACCGTTGCTACGGGGGACGTCTGGAAGGGAGGTCGGGTCCCCGTTGGGGGGCGACCGTGGACCGTTGGAATCCTGGAGTCGGTGTTCGCGGGGGTTGCGCCGGGTCCCGGCGACTGGTGGGGATACTTTTTTGTCAGCAGCCGAAGGCGAAAGCGCAAACGTTGAGTCGAGTCAGAGCGGGCGTACTGGTGGGGATATTTTTTTGGGTCGCGGCCACCAGCGAAGAGCGCAGGCGGCGAACAAGGTGTCCGGGCCGACGGGCAAACCTAATTAGCTACTGAGCGCAGCACGAGCCGGCCGGGCCGGCTCACAAACGCGGCAGCTGGGGCAGCGGCTGCGGGGGGCTGGCTGGCTGAACAGGAACGCCCAGGGAAACTCGAGCAACGTGCAGCCCTGCGGCAAAGTGCCAGGGAATTCTGTGTTACGCGCTGTGGCGTCCAGACGTGGTAAGCGATGGGCCGTCGCCAGTGGGGCGCCAAGCCCAAGCCGCGCCAACGGCGTGTGCGCGCCAGCTGTGCTGCTCCGCCGAAAAACGTCGAATACCAAGCCGAGGGTGGGGTGGGCCCGGAAGGCGGCCGAGGCTGCGAAGGCTGAACCGCTCGAAGCGGGCTGACCTCCAGGGGCCGTCAACCCGCGCAACATGAGTAGCCACCGATCGTCAAGAATTTCCGTTCGGAGCGTTTTTTTCTGTTCGAGTGCGCCCTGCCCGTCTCCCTGTCTCTGCGGCCGTATTGCTTTCCTTCTCCCCTTCTCCTGTTTGCGGGACAATTCGCAACGCCGTAGCCCGGGTTGCTCGGACGCGCGAGCGGATCGCCTCTGCCGCGCCGCGACGGAAAAAGCTTGTCTTGGTTTGCTTGAGTTGATGCTGCAGCTCTGCAGTTGCAGCGATGGGCCCATCGCTCACGTCGTCCAGAATGGTGCTCTCGTCCCAATGCAGGCCACATTTATGGATCGGGTTCCTTCCTCGTCTTTGTCGCCCCCTTATTTCCCCTCCTTCGCCTTCCCCTGGTCCTCCTGGTCCTCCTGCTCCTCCCGCTCCTCCCGCTTCTGCTCCTCCTGCTCTTGCTCCTTCCTCCTCACCATCCTGCTCAACCTCCTGTTCATCCGCCACCTCCTCCTCCTCCTCCTCCTCCGCCTACTCCAATGTGCACACCTCCCCTTTTCTGACTGTGCATAACACGCCTCCTCCTCTTGCCCCTCCTCCTACTGCTCATTGCCCTCGCGCTGCCAATCTTTCCTTCCCCTTTCCCCCATCCCTCACCTCTCACCTTCTGCTCCTCATCTTCATTTGTACTCCTCCTCTCCCTGCTATTCCCCCTCCTCCCCTTCCCCCTCCTCCTCCTCCTCCTCCTCCTCCTCCTTTCTCTCCCCCTCCTCGTCCTCCTCGTCCTCCTCGTCCTTCTCTCCCTCCTCCTATTTTAACTCTGCTGCTACACATCTTCTCCGTCCCCCACCTCTCCATCTCGCTCCCTCCTCTTCCTTTCTTTCCCACTCCTCCTCCTCCTCCGCCTCGGCAACATCCTTTTCTCCTCTCTTCTCCGCGCCCGTCCCTTCCCCCCTTCCGCGCCATCTCCTCTCCCCCCTCCACCCGCCCCTTCCCCCTCCCCCTCCTCTCCACCTTCCCCCTTCCCCGTCTTTTTTTTTTGTTCTCTCTCTCTCTCTCTCGCCCCCCCTGCTCTACCCCAGCCCCCCTCTCCTCCACCCTCCCTGTCTGCCAAAACCAGAC